CTAAAATCCCTCATTATATTATATTACACCCCATTTATTGACTACGGTGATTATTCCCACAGAGCATTGAATGTCAAAGAATTACACCCCAAACGCGGCCCTGGAGAGGCACTGGGAACGCTGCAGGACTCAAATGTTATTCGAGTCACACAGGCACTTTAAACACACAGCGCTTATTAGACACAGCGTTCAGCGACGGCTCATTTAACCCCACGTGGAAACAGCAGCGCTAGATTACGGCTGCCATTTTTCTCAGAGTCGGCACTCACGGCTCCCTCTGCGACACAGATGCAATGCCTGTCCTGGATACATGCAGGCATGTGGAGCTCTGATTACATTATGGGGAAGTGTTTATTAATACGCTAATGATTTCATTGTGCATGAGGCTATGTGCCGTGCTGGCAGAGACACAGACAGTTGAAGGCTAATTGCTATCGCTTGTCAAAACCGTCACTGGAATTAAAAATAAAGGAAAACTATGAGATAAATAGTGCACGCCGAGTATGTGTGTACATGCATGTGGAAAAAACAGGGGTATGGGGCAAAGGCAGGGTTTGAGGTCTATAAAACCTTGACGACTAATTACACAACACCACTGTTAATGAGCATTTCCCCTTAGGACAGACTTTTCAGGTCAATAAAAAGACATTTAAAAAAGCCAAGCAGAAACAGACGTACAAATGCAACACAGGCGTGCATCAGGAGAAGGGCATCTCAGTGACGCAAAACATGCTGCCACGCACACCATGTCACACACACGTGAACAAACACACACACACACCTAGATAAACACAACCAGCTGAAGGAGTCTAATACACGCTATAATGATAATGAAGGATACGCTAATGGCAAATCCACAATTACCATTTTCTTTTGACTTTGCAGGCGAAGTTCAAATAGTGTTATTGTTCACGCATCTTTAAGCGCACACGGCTCTGCACCTGATGCCAATTGCCCCTTTAAGATTTCTGCATGCAGTATATCTGTGCATGAAATAAAAAAAGAGTCCTTCATATAGTGTTACCTTTATATATTATAGTACTAATCAAATAATCTAATTTAAGCATCATTTCCTAAGCTAAAATACTGAAACCACACTATCAGATAGATACACTATTCAGCAAAAACACATTTAATCACATTAGAAGTGACAGTAAAGACATTTATAATGTTACGAAAGATTTATATTTAAAATAAAAGCTGGTCTTTTGAATTTTCTATTCGTCAAAGAATCCTGAAAAAAAAACATGTCACGGTATTCACAAAATATGAAGCAGCACAACTGTTTTCAACACTGATAATAATAAGAAGTGTTTCTGAAGCAGCAAATCAGCATATTAGAATAATTTCTAAAGGATCATGTGACACTGAAGACTGGAGTAATAATGCTGAAAATTCAGCTTTGCATCACAGAAATAAATTACATTTTAAAATATATTACAATAGAAAACATTTCTTTTAAATTCTAATAATTGTACTGTATTTTTGATCAAATAAATGCAGCCTGAACAAAAAACAAAAAAGTTTGCAAACAACAATCTGAAATGTATAAGTGAGTTTATGCTACCAGCAGCACTGATGTTGGAGCGTCTGGCTACCAGCCTCGACGAGGTGATAAAAGCATGTTTCCTATAAATGCTAACAATCTTCATTAGCACGAAGGGGGAGGCAGAGTGCATGTTTCCCTCCATATTCTCCCCCTTTAAAAAAATGTAGGAAAGTTAAAGGGGTCATATGATGCGATTTCAAGTTTTCCTTGACTGCGCTTGTCGGAAGGAGGGACTTTGTAGAAAACGAAGCGTTTGAGAGAGGCGGGGCATAGAGGACCTACAATAATGTACAGTATTTGAAAAATAATGTGTTTTTTGAACATTAAAGCATGTCAACATATTCTGTTACACCAAATACACAAAATAATGATCTTTAAAAAAGCATCATATGACCCCTTTAAATAAAAAAGCTTATAAGCCACCTGTAACTTAAAATACATGTAAACGGCTGTACCCCAATAGGTTTACCCCAGAGATGAATGTGACTGCACGTCTATTTAAGGATCAAGTGCAATCTGCAGATATTGAAATAGTCTTACCATGGCGATAAAAAAGTAATGTGGGCACCAGTGTTATTGTAGTTAATTTGTATTATTATTTCATATTACTATCTATTAAAAAAAGATTTTGTTTATTAAAATAAAGCAGAAATAAAAAATATATAAATATTAGATGAATGACTTAAACGCATTTTTTTTAAGTTAAAAAAATTGCAAAACTTGCAAAAACAATTTGAAATGCTAACTAGGCAACAACTGAAAGTTTATAATTACTAAAACTGAAATAAAAAAATAAAGTAAAATAGAAATATTTAAAAAAACAACAATAAAAATGACAAAAAAATAAAATTATTAAAATGTACACTAAAATTAAAATGGAAAACTGAAACATAATATTAAAAAATTCAAAATAGTATTACTATTTAGTATACTAATAGTATACTATTCAAAATAGTAATAAATACATCATATATTAGTAGATATTTAATATAATTCAGTAATGAATCAGATATATCCAACAGCACATGGCACTTGGTATTCCTGAGATGTTTCCAAGATCAACATGCTACTACTATGGTACATGTCAAAAAAATAAAAATAAAAACTTGGTAGCACCACAAATCTTTTTAAGAGTGCATGTTTTAACATATGCCATGGTAATACCTTGTTCTTTGGACATGGTAAAACCATGATATTGTTTGAAGTGGAGTACATCATATAATGTGACCCTGGAGCACAAAAGCAGTCTTAAGTCTCTGGGGTATATTTGTAGCAATAGTCAAAAATACATTGTACGGGTCAAAATTATTGATTTTTCTTTTAGGCCAAAAATCATTAAGATATTAAGTAAAGATCATGTTCCATGAAGATATTTTGTAAATTTCCTACCGTAAATATATCAAACCTTCATTTTTGATTAGTAATATGCATTGCTAAGAACTTCATTTGGACAATTTTAAAGGCGATTTTCTCAATATTTAGATTTTTTTGCACCCTCAAATTCCAGATTTTCACATAGTTGAATCTCGGCCAAATATTGTCCTATCCTAACAAACCATACATCAATGGAAAGCTTATTTATTCAGCTTTCAGATGATGTATAAATCTCAATTTAGAAAAATTTACCCTTATGACTGGTTTTGTGGTCCAGGGTCACAAAAAACATTTTTTTTTTTCTTAAATATTGTACACATACAATTAAAGCATATTTGTACCATGCCACAGTACTTTTCCTTAATTCAGAAAGTACTTTTTTGAATGGAAAAGCAATAAGATGTTTGACCTCCTCCATTCAACAACATTTTAACAAATGTTTGCCCGGCCACATTTGCTCTTTAATGTCCTCGTCTGCTTCTCACTAATAAAGAAGCACAACAAGGGGATCATTTAATGACGGCAGCTGGACATGACAGAGACACGATCATCTGTCAGGGACAATTTCACATCACAGTCAACTATTTGTTTTTGTCCTGTGTGTGTGGCCCCGCTATGCTGCATAGAAATGTGGTTGGTCTGTACGAGCCATTTCCACATGTTGTTTGTCGCAAAATTAACATTGTTACTCTTATGTGCCATTGCCTTAAAGGGGTCATAGGATGCCCATTTTCCACAAGTTGATATGATTCTTTAGGGTCTTAATGAAAAGTCTTTAACATAGTTTGGTTAAAATTTCTCAATGGTAGTGTAAAAACACATTTTTTACCCTGTCAAAAACAACTCTTTTCAGAGCACGCAGTTCTGTAGCATTTTCCTTTAAATGTTAATGAGCTCTGCTGACCCCGCCCCTCTCTTCCGAGCTGCTCTCTGAGGGACTGTTTACTTTAGCCGCATTCATCGTGAAACTTGCTAATTAGCACATTATTAGGAAAGGCGATTTGCAAAGATTCCTTTAAAAAAACCTTACACTCACTTCTTCTGTAGGTGAAGCTGGATCACGAATGATTCGCGCGAACAAACGCATTTATGTAGAACGGGGGCGCATTCCCTTCAAAAACAAATGTAATCCACTGCGTCTTCAGCGGCTCAGATGTCGGGAGTAAATGACGACTGCTATGTTCATTATTACATCCAACAACAGAACACCTCAATCGCTTAGGAGTCATTCTTGTCTACATCTGCTCCAGCCCATGAAACGCTACTGTCAATCAAACTATCGTGGGAGTGGCCTGCTCAAAAAATATGATATACTGACCTCACAACCCTGTCGTAATGAAGCACGATCCTGTTCTAGTTGTGTTCAGCCATGACTAACAACTGCTCAGAATTCCCTAACAGTCTCGGCTTTTCCCTTTCTACTAATACGTCCATTTCCTTTTTCTTGTAAAATAATCTTTATCATGGTACTACTAACAAATGTGATGCTGGTGCTATCTATTTGAAATACAGCTAGGAGTCGTATTTTGTAGACAGGCATCTGAGATCGGCTCGATTTGAGAAAGGGGTAAAGATTTGAGCAGATTAAAAAAAAACACTGGGTGCATTTTTATCATTATAGGGTTGTTGTGTGCACACACTGTCAACACATATTTCAGTTCAAACAACTTGTAAAAGTGCATGTAGCATCCTATGACCCCTTTAAGGTTTTATATAAATATATGAAAGTATCTCACAAAGCCTGTCAAGAATCTCTGAGTCATATTCTCCTTTAAAATCAAAAGACAAAACATACAATTTTGTATAAAGAGGTTCTGTGCAAAATCAGTTCAAAATTATTATAATGATTGCCAATGGAAACTATATGTGTACTCTGAGTTCTTCAGAAGAACCAGAACAAATGTAAGATTATGAACCGTATGGAACTACTGATGAAAATGACTGAATCATCTGCATTGAGACTACACTGGACCTGTGCAATTTCAAAGGGAAATCCTCTGAATTGGCCAAGACTTGAGAAAGAAAGAAAATCGAATTGTACGTTTGAAATATATATATATATATTTTTTAAACTTACCTCTAAAGGAGAGTCACAGAGGAACCTCTTGAACTGTGAGGGGAAAGAGGTAGAAAAGAAATGCGTTATTTTACATTCATGTACATATAACAAAATACAAAAGATAGAGTTGGTGGGCAGTCCCAGGAATACAGCTGAGCACATTTGAGATGGCCTTTTGCGTAATTTTATCAAACTTCTCTCCTGCGGCTGTTGCTAACAAATACTGCATCACCAAATCCTCATTAAACAACTAATGCTTTGCTGTATCTACAATACCTACACACAATCATACACACGGATCAATGAGAAAAGATTCATGCCAACATGTCTGCAAACAACATTTTGCAGCATCAGACTGGTCGCGATGCTCAAACAAGCAGATCAATGCTTTAAATCTTCAGTTGGACTTTCAAATGTTTTCAATTCTGCTTTATCTAAGAGAGATTAAATAAACTTGGCTCTTTAACAACACACACAATTGCAACTTTTGTAATCACGGTGATGTAAGACATTTAATATTGTTGACTTAATTTCACAATGAGTAGCTGTTCGGTCATTAGTTTGTTTTGGCCGAAGCGAGGCAGCAGTAACTGGCTAGCATTGTGAAGAAAGAGAAAAGGCAAGATGTTTATTCAAGGAGGTTTAAATAACTTTATGTCTGCTAAAGCCTTTTTTCTGTGCCATGATGAACTTGATTTGTTTATTGATGACTGGCAGGTGATTTGGGTAGCGTGTTTCTCTAAAAACAAGGCATGTTAGGACACAAAACATGTTTGACAGCCAGTGACTTGCATGCTGCATTACTCACATAAAGCTAGGTCTCTGATGCTTATATCACAAAATACTACTGAAAATTAATGACGTCAAGCACCCCATCAATGTAACAAAAAACCCTAATGTCTCAAATTCTTATCTTGTCTATCTATCTTGTCGTTCTACAAGTTGCCAAAAATGCACCTTTGCTGAAAAAAAAAAAAAAAAAAAAAAAAAAAAAGTGAGACAAAACTGATCAGTTCATCCAAACATGCAAACCACAAACAGAAAAGTCAGAAATGCATGGAAAAAAAGCCAGTCCATGATCACTGGCACTGCTTCGGGAGCATGTGTGTGTTGGCTGTTTTAGCTGGATGTCAATTCTGATCCACAGGCCTGTGATACTAACATACTCTGCTGTAACGGTGAAACATCAGAACCAATAAGAGAGAAAGAGAAGGGCAGTTTATACAAACTAAATGACAATTCATCCACACTGAATTCATTAGACTTGAAGAAACCTTTAAATGAAGCTGCAGATTCCAGATCTTCATCAGAATAAATTTGATAGAATTACATTTGGTTCCACGCAACAAATGCATATTTCATGCCCTCCATCTTTAATATACAGACACACAAAGCGAGTCTGGTTGTGATCTGGCAAAACCAGGCTCCTGTGGTTTAAAACGCTGCAAAACAAGCGTGAGCAGCTTCGCTTATTGGACAGCGAGAGGGTTGGAGAGAATTAGGCAGCAGTTACAAACTCCATATGGTGATTTCTGCATCTGTGATGTTTAGAGAACTAACAGCGTATGTGGGTTGGGAATCAAGAATAGTCCTAAATATACTACAACCAAACAATTTATGGTATTTGGTTCCGTTAAAAGCTCTTAAACATATACAGTTTTCTGAGAACTGTTTCTGTTATATACTCAAAACTGTATGGCTTATATCAACAACTGAGTCTTTTGGCTCAATTTGTTTACCTCTCCGGGCGGTTGTGAAAGAGAAACGTATTGTTGGGAAAGTGGAACTGAGAAAGATGGGATATGGGAGAGGGATGCGGTGAGTCGCTCGGGGGGTAAAAGCTGGCAAAGACTCTCTCCTGTTCTGCCAGGCACTCAACAGGGGGGTTTGTGGGTAACGGCTCTATGAGAGAGGGCAACGCAGCCATGCATAATTCAATTAGTCTTCTTGCTGATCTCCTGGAGTCTGGCAGCCGTGACCCAGCCTGGTTACTAACTTGGACTGGACAGAATTAAGGGTGTGTTCACACTTGTACTTCGGTTCATTTGGTCCGGACCAAAAAGGAAAATGATACATTTGGTCGTGGTCCGCTTAGCGTTCACATTGACATTTTTGACAGCGAACCTAAAGACAGTGAACCTAAAGGCATAGTGATACGTTCACAACCTGATTGGTCGGCTTGAATGACGTACATATCGTGATGGAACTCACCGAACGCCCCAAACAAAAGTTGCATTAGCCTTAAAGCGGCGCTGCGGGTGTATGATATCAAAGCATCCATTAACCGATCGGTCTGCTTAGCGCCGCTTTAAGTCGAAAAAACTTTGCCGTCTGCTGGACTCATTCTTGCATGTACATATAATTTTATTTTCACTACCTGCAAACTCATAAGGAGCTCATAAAAGGCACTTTACCTCATCGTTGCTCCACGTTTGCCCTCTGCTAATTTTGTTTTGATTACACCGCGTCGTCAAATCATGTCGCATAGCGTCGCATCTTGTCATTACTTCCTGTTTTTGGTTCGTTTAGAAGTATTTGGTCCGTGTTGCGTTCATATATCATTCAAACTGCACCAGAGTTCGTTTTAATCTAACCAAACATAACAAGTGTGAACGCACCCTAAGATGCCCACATTCACATGTGGATTTAAATTTTCATGCACAAAAGAAATGGAAAAAAAAAAAATAAAAATAAAAATAAAAAAAAGAAAGAAAATAAATGAAATGAAAAAGAAAAGAAAAGAAAAGAAAGTAAATGAAAAAATAATGGAAAAATGAAAAGGAACAAAAAGAAATAAAATGGAAAAATAAATTAGAAAGAAAATAAAGAAAAAGAATAAAAAAGAAAAGAAAAAAAACACTGGAATAGAAAAGTTTCTGACATCACCAATCCCTCTAATTTCTCAACATCTCCCCTCCAACTTTTCACCATTCAATCAATTCCTGGTGGGGAAAAAAGTAATGTTCTGCCCTTTTTTCCCCCTTGAATATCTTTATGTTGAAAGAAAAACTGGTTATTTGTCAACTACCCATATCATTAAACACAAGCATTCGTGTTTCTTTCATCAGCGTCATTCTCTCTGTAGCCCTTCTTCAAATGTGTTGTTCTGAAACGCTCCAAAATGGCCTTTCTTGAAAGCAAAAAGGTGAACTCTGACCAAAAGTCGGAAGTGAAATGGCTCAGCAGGGATTTAAAGCTCTGCTAATTTGAAATTAGGCAGAACGTAGTGAACGTTAGAGATCGGCCCTTAACAGACCATGAAATCTACAGTTTAGATCAACCTACATCTTGTCACCATTTTTTATTTAACTAGTTAATGTTCTCCTACAATGAAAAATAGATTTCTTAGTTTTAAGAAAAGAAACCGCTCATTTTGGAAAATGTCATGCATCATTTAACAGCAAATACATATATTAACACTTAATACAGAAAGTCTGAGACCTTACAAGATGGTCATTAGTCTATGTAAAACCTGCTGGTGAGAATAAACGCGTATGAATCGATTTGTGTTCCTCCTTTCCTCCCCAGTGCTACTCTGTATAATTAGTTCATGTGTCATTAGGAGGAGTAAATAGAGTTTTAACAGGATTTGTTGTGCTGAAAATCCATGCCACATGTGTAGGACCTCAGTCATGCCTCACTACATCAGAATACAACAGCAGAAATCCCTGCCTCTCTCTGTGTGTGTGTGTGTTTATGTGTGTGTGTGTCCCAATTACAGTCTTACATTCACAATAAAGGGCCGTTTACACTGATTTCAAGCAACACAATGACCAGAAGTCATTCATTTCCACTGAGATTTTGAGGGAAATGGGTTACTGCATAACCAGCCCACAAACTCCATCATTTACTTTAATCTTCAATGCTTTAATTTATTGAATTATCAAGATACCATTCAAACGTTTGGAGTCGGTAAGCTTTATCAAAGAAATTAATACATTTATTCAGTAATATGTTATTCAATTATTCAAAATGTCACAAAAGATTTCAAACAAATGCTTTTTTTTTACATTTCTATTCATCAAAGAATCTTGAAAAACAAAATGTGTCACGGTTTCCACAAAAATATCATGCAGCACAACTATTTTCAACATTGCTAATAATTATAAATGTTTCCTGAGCAGCAAATCAGCAAATTAGAATGATTTCTGAAGGATCATGTGACACTGAAGCCTAGAGTAATGATGCTGAAAAATAAATTACATTTTACAATATATTCAAAGAGAAAAATGTTATATTAAAAGTAGTGGTCGACCGATATATCGCCAAGGCGATATATCAGCCAATATTTGCCATTTTTCAAATATCGGCATCGGCCGGTACATTTTTCTGTTTGGCCTATGTGTTCAAGGCGAGACTTTTATTTTGACGACGCTGAGATCAAACCTTGCAGACTTAGTCGAATCTAGTTGAGATCTTGTGAAGTGTGCATTTGTATCCTGCATTATTGCATGTTCTCTGCGTGACGGTCGGTCCGTGTGAATTGAATGCTGACAGGAGGAGAGTCCTGCTTGACTGGAGACGCGCGATCGACAAACTAAATTCATGATTTCAAATTATGCTGCACTTTATGCATTTGCTCACTGTCATATGTCATTTTCATTGTGTGATGTATGTAAAATGAGTGTTACCTTGGCTTTATTTGAGAAAACAAATAAATAAAAAAAAAAAATATATATATATATATATATATATATATGATTCCCAATGCACACAAACTTCCCAGAATACTGAGTGCCCTGTTGGTTACAGTGTTTACTTCCTATTCAATTAGATTTTTATTAAATATTTATTTGTGAACAATGCTGTGTCTTCTAAAGTACGGCCACCCTGCTTTCCAAGATATCGGCATCGGCTGTCAAAAAACCCATATCGGTCGACCACTAATTAAAAGTAATAATATTTACTGTATTTTTTATCAAATAAATGCAGCCTTGGAAAGCAGAAGAGACTTACAAAAAAAATGTATTTTACAGACCCCAAACTTTTGAACAGTATAAATTCAAATCACATAATTCACAAAATCAATGTTTTTCAGACAGACAGGGGAA